TCCATTATTCCTCGTATCAAACGATCCACGAGTACTTTTACTACTAGGACTAGTTTTGAATATAGAACTAGGGGTGTACAAAACCGAACCGAAAATCGAACCAAACTGCAAATCGAGTCAAACCGGAAAAAAAAACCCGACTAGTGGTTTGGTATTGGAAAAAAAATCCGACTATATTTGGGTTGGTTTGGTTTTAACTAAAAAAACCAACCCGAGACCAAACCAACCGGACATTATATATGTAATTTTAAATTTTATTTTATACATAAAATATTTACTTTGATATAATTTTAAAATATTTCTTATACTATTTCATAGTTTTTATCTTTTAATATATTATTTAAAGTTTAAAACTTAGAATTCGGAATGGTCCAATAAAGATTATAGTTCATAGATGTTGATAATTATAATAAAACTTAAATCAAAATCAAATTAATACTAATGCAAAAAGAAAATCAATTCAACACTAAGAATGACAATAATATTGAATATTTATTCTTTAGTTTTACATTGGTTTAGACAATTAAAATACATAATCTAATTTTAATTTTCCTTTTTGTAATGTAACTAATACTTATTAAACTTATTTTAGCATGATTTAGTACTTTTAAATTATGATCATCTTCATTATGACTTTGCAATATTTATTTAATATGATGATTTCATTATTATTTTTTATTGAATATTTTTGTGTCATCGGTACTGATCTCATATTTTGTGTTATTTTTTTAAGAAGCACCTTAGATAATTGTATTTTGGTTGGACTAAAGAAATACTTGGAGCACAAGTTAATTATATGTTTGTATGCAAACTTTACCAAAAAAATTCAAAAAACTGAAAAAATCCAAGGTTTATTAGTTTGATTTGATTTATAAATTTAAAAATTCGACACAACAGTTTGGTTTGATATTTGAAAAATCTGAAAAATCCGAATTTTATTAGTTTGGTTTGGTGGGGCCAAGCAAAGACTAAATGTCATTGTACGTAGCATATGATATTGTCTTCTGCCAAGTCCCACCAGGCACTAACTAATTGGTGCGTGACTATTACAATCTTTGTTAAATATTCATATTTTATACATACATTAGGTATGTGAAAAAGAAAGATTAACTTCTATCAACTTTCTAAATTAACAAAAACATCCCCTAAAATCACAACTCTCTCCATTTCATATTTTTAGTTTGAGTTGAGTAGAACCCTTAATATGTACTAAAGTTATTTAATTTAGTGTAGCTAAAATTATGGATTTGGCAATTTTTAGGGAGAAACTATGTGTATATATTAAGATGGAACATGTATCTTTCATCGAAGTAATTAACAACTTGAAAAAATAAGACAAGAGAAAACGAAATAGAGTTGCATTTGTACATTGGGGGATTCAAAATATGAAGTAAATATGTGAAAATTACAAGATAAGCAAAGCTAGGCGTTCGCTAAATTTTACCTGCCTTATCATGTCATTTTAATATCTTCCCGTCTTTGCTAGGAGCGGCTTTAATGCCTTTAAAAATGAGGCATCCGCCTAAGTTAATTTATATATATATATATATATCAAAGTTACTTTTTAAAATTCTGCTCAAGTCACAATTGGACAAACAATTTAAATGGATGAAGTACTATTTATAGAAAACATAAATCTTTTCACTAAAAAGAAGAAATAACTTTGCATGTCAAAAATAATTTTAAATACACTGCATCTTAAAAAACTAAAAGAATACACTTTAATTTTTTATTTTTTTAAAAGTTTACGGCCTCTGATTTATTTTTGACTATAGGCCATTGATGAGCTTGAGCCTTTCAATTTTTGCTCTGCACCATTGAACCCTTCTTAAAATGTATTGTGACTTTTTTTTCTTTTTCTTTCACTTTGCAGTGTTTTATAATGAAGAAACTCTCAAGAAAATTAAAGAGAGAAAACAATATTCAAAATGTATATTTTGTATGCTAACAAATAATATATATAAAACTATAAGTGTAACGGTATATTCCATTATATTGGGCTAAAAATTAGGAGATGGACAAAAAATATTATGATAAAATAGGGGAAGAATAAAGAGGGAAATGGGTAGCCACAATAACTGTGATACATACATGAGATACATTTAATTCTATATATATGTTAATTAATATTTGGATATAATTGATAATAATCCGATATTTATATTTTATTAGATAAGTATTAAAACAAGTATATATGGTAATTTTAGTCGTAAAGTAAATTTCCCCTATATTGAATTTATAGGTGGGTTAACTAAAACAAAGAAAGAATATGCTAACTCTAATTTTTGTCGTCTATAGGCCCAAATAATCATTAAAAAGGATCGGCCCAATTTCTTAAATGAGTGAGGAAGGACAAAACTTAAAAAGACTATACATAAGTGATGTGAGCAAATATTGAACCTGCAACCTCAGCGTTAAGTTGAACTCTTGGACCATTGAGTTGCATTTTTCATTTGTGATGAGGGGGTTCAATAAAGGTTATATATATAATATTCAAATATGACCTTATATATATTGTAATTTTTCAACAAGGGGATTCAATGAACCAATGAAGCCCCTCTTACATAGATTCGCTCTTGACCTAAGAAAAAATCAGTCTTACCTTTAAATTTATTCTCTGATATCTATTTTTTGCCTTAACCACATCAAGGAGGAATTGAACCTCTTCTAGTTTTTTGAAAACTCTAATCCTTTGATGTCCGAGTAGCTACTTACCTTACTGGTGTCCAAAGAAGTCTGTTGGTACAGATGTCATATGAGATGTGAAAGCGATTTCCGAAATCCCGATTACATTACTGCAGGCCAAAATTGGATTTGAAAGAGCAAGCCAGAGAAAAGAGGCGTTGAGATAATACCTTTCATCCTAATCTCATCTACTGAAAAAGGAACCTTGATTTGTTTACTTCCTCCTTTAATAAGATCGGGATGAGGAGTGACCTTTTACTGGACCTCGAGGATCGTCTTAAACTTGAAACTGCCCTAAGCTTGCTTTGTTGCAGCAAGATGATCAGTCCGAGAGTGCTGGAGAGAAGATAAAGCGGTAAAAATCTCTCTTATTTGGTCACCGAGAAGTCAGACTAATCAGGAGGGGACTTAATGACTATATAATCAAATCTCATTATAACAATCATTCATTCTATCAAAATTTGACCTCAATACTGCAATTCACTGTATATCCCATTGATGTAACTCGCAATATTGTATCATCTCTGCAAGAAACAATAAGAGATATGAACAAAAGATTGGAAAATATAAGCTCATAATTTCATTAACAAGAAGAATGATCACAATTAATATGTACAATCAACTAATCCATTGTTTTCTTAATACACTCGATTTGTCACTTGCTTATTTCTTGTCCACTTAATAGATTATTTGCTTCGATCGAAATATTACTTCTTATTCTTTGAATTTCATTTATAAATTTAACTGTACCTCTTAGGGGTTAAACCATGCGAAATTCCACTTCCAATCGACAATCACACCGACCATATTTATGTTTCACCCTACCAATCATTGTATAAACTATTTTACTAATATAATATTAGATTAATTAGTATTTTATTTGAATTCTATATTTATTAATTTATATAAAAACAAAATCTAAAATTCGAATGTTGAGAATACAAATGATAAGTTAGTATTTGAAGCTTTTGTTTTGATGTTCTTTTTGTTTCTGTTTTTTGATTTTGGGATTGGGCTTGTTTTGGGCCTAATATCTTTTTTTTGTTTGGTTTTGTTTGATTTCAAGGGAAGGAAGAATTAATTGGGCGGCAAAATTAGGTTACAAACTTCAAAGTTCAAATAGTAATAAATGATTCAAAGAATATATAGGACCATGGCACAACTTCAACAAGTCGTTTGGTACGAGATAGATAAAGTTATTTCATGGGTTAAGATATTTCAATGAAATTAGTCATTTTATTATTTATGTGAATAATTTATTTTATCAATTTAATACAAATAGTGAATAAATAATTTTGAGACTAATTAATATTTTTAACCACACAAAATAAAAATTATCACACGTTTTATATATTATCCATTATCCCTCGTATGTCGTATCAAACGATCCACGAGTACTTTTACTACTAGGACTAGTTTTGGATATTGAACTATCGTTCTTCATGTGCATCTTAAATTGTCTTAGTTGGACATGCACCTAAGTCATGAATACAAAATAAATTCATCACACATCATGACATTAAAGGAAGTGGGGTAATTGAAATGACTAAGTATAGGTAGCAGTTTTCTTTCGTGGAAGGGTCAGAATTAAACTCCCAAATTATTATCGATTCTGTTTGATTGTACACGAAATTTAAAACAATTAAAAGAAAAATTGTACTAGTTTCGTGATATGGGTGGAGCAAAGTAAGAACAAGGGGTTCACGATTAAGATTATCTCTTGTGTATATATAATAGATGTTGAATTCTCTTAACTTCTTCATATTTTAAATCTCTCTTACAGAAAATTCTTAGTCCGTCATTGTCTAGTGATCTTAAACTAAATATATGAATAATGTACCAAAACATCATTTCGAATTTTATAATCTTAAACATATTTGGATGAGGAAATATAATCTCATAATGTTACGAAGACCTCTAAAAAAGAAAGACCTACCTGCACATTTGATTCAGAACGGAGAATATCAGTTAACAATATCTTTGAATCGATTTAAACTAACGAGAAAAACACTTGAGAATAATAAGAACAATAGTATGATTAGTCTTGGTACATACATGGAACAATTTTCTTTGATATAAGACAAACGCCTAATTACTGGGAAAAGAATCCACCTATGGATCAAACAACAATAACTTTTCCTTTTACATATATATATATAAAAAAAAAATCAATAAAAAAAGAAGCTATGAGATCTTTAAATTATCCCAAGCCCATAAAACCTAATATAGAAAAGTAAAACTATAAAGTAAAAAAATAAGAAAATGAAGTTGGAAATTATTTATGCAAGAAAAAAGATAAACTTTTTTATTGTCAAAAAAAAAAAAAAAAAAAACCTTATGGGATAACATAATCATCTGGAACAGTGAATGTGTCTGGATCTTCATCATGTAGCCATCCAAATTTCTCCAAGAAAGGATTAACCAAAGTATTTGGTGGATAATTATCAATACAATCTTTCCACACATTTCCATTATCCAAATCTCTTAACACTTCCCATAAACAACTATTACACTTAAATCCAGCTCCAAAGCTAAGCATAAGCACTTTATCACCTTTTTTTAACCTTTTTTTAGCTTCCATATACCCCAAAACATACCATAGACTACTTGCTGAAGTGTTACCAAATCTATGTAATGTCATTCTTGCTGGCTCTAAATCATACTCACTTAAGTTCAAATTTGCACCAACACCATCAATTACTGCTTTTCCTCCAGTATGTAGACAAATATGATCTACACCTGTTTTGAAATTTATCATTGGCTTAGGTCCTCCTTTTGTTGATCCCCAATTCATTTTTTTCATAAAAATCGCGATAGCATATCGAAGTAGCTCTCTTATAGGAAGGATCAAAGGTGCTATTTGTTTCAAATTATCGACTAGTGCACGTGTAGCAGCCTTTGGTAGTGTTTTATCAAGGTGAAAACCTATGTTACCTTGATTATCCTCCCTTTGTACACAACTATCATATGATTCATCTTTTGCTCCATGATGTACCCTAACTAGTTGCTTCAATTTGAACATGGCTTTGTTTTTTAAAGACAATTTGTTTGTCAATAAAATGGCGCAACCTCCTGACCTAAACAAACAATTAGCAAGAATCATAGATCTATCGTTCCCAGTGTACCAATTTGGACTTAAGGACTCTGATGTCACCATTAGTGCAACCTTGTTCTTCTCATTTTTGAAAACACTTTGTATGGCATTTATCGATATGAGGCTAGCACTACACCCCATACCAGTGATGTTATACACCTTGATGTCTTCTCTCATCTTATAGTAATTGATTATTCGTGCAGCCAACGATGGCATACAAGCTAACATGGATATATTGACCACAAGAACATCAATTTCACTAGGGGAAATTTTGTTCCTCTTCAAGACCTTATCAATACTATCATGGAAAAATTCTTCCATCTCCAAGATACCATCTTCGTAAGTAGGACATGCTTCACGACCATCAAATACCATTTGTGGTGCATATGTTTGTTCACCAATGCCTGAGCTAACGATAGCTTTCAACAGGAACTTGTACTCATGTAGGCCAAGGTGTTTGTTCCTTCTAATTACTTCTCCTGAAAATTTTGTGCTAAGCATTCGATCATCAGTTGGTTTGTGACATTCATAGTCCAAAATGTAACAATTTTGGTGTCTTTTTCGATCGATAATCTTCCATATCAAATAAAGTAGGTAAAATAAAGGAAGACCATAGAACAAAATTGAAATGAGATCCATGAGAAAGAAGATTAAAGGATAGAGAGAGTGAAAGAGAAAGGAAAATAGTGTATGGTTTTTGTGTGTGTGTATTTTTTTTTTTGTTGTATATTTTTTTTTTTGTACGTTGCACACTTTAGTGTTGTTGTGTTTTTTTTGTTTTTTTGGTTGATGAGAAATGTAATTCCAAGTCTAAGTATAAAAAGAAGTATCCAAGTTGGAGATGCATGTGACTAAATGCTATTGAAAAATATAATAATATTATTTTTGTCATTCTCTCAACTCCCACCAACTGATCGGTTCGTGACATTAACCATCTTTATTAATCATTCATAATGCATACAACATTAGGTATGTGAAAAGGAAAGATCAATTTCTATCAATTTTCTAAATTAACAAAAACATCCCCTAAAATCACTAACAAATTTATAAAAGCATCAATTATGTATACATCATTATTTCCAAGTATTTTTTCATTTTAAGTAATTAATTAGTAGTTGTTTTAGGAAGAATACATTGACAATCCTTTAAATTTATCAGTAATTTTCATTTGAATACTCAAACTATGACATGTTTCAATTGAATATCTCATATTTTAGAAATTGTTTGGCGCCAGTTACCTAGATAGTGAAAACTAGGTAACTTGTGAATGCACACATAGAACTTTTCAAAAGATTTGAGTTGAAAATGTCTAGTAAAAACACTTTGTCATATATTCGAATTCTCAACTGAAACAAATCATAATTCGAGTGTCTAAATGGAAAAATACTGGTCTCAACAGAAAGCCTTTATGGTTGGTGTACGGAGAGTAACTTTTAAAATATATAGCAGATTTGAAATCAGAAACATTTATGAACAACAAGGAGTGGTAGATGGAATTGTCGAGTATAAAATTATGAAGACATCAGAATGCTGCTGGAAAATAAATAAAGCTACCATAAGAATTTATTCACATACACAATTTTTTAACTCTTTTTAATGGATATATAATATTATTTGTGTACAGAAATTAAAATCTAATAATTATTTTGAGTTTTAATTTGCTACCCTGCCCATAAGTCCCCACTACTGCAACAAAACATTCTAATTTATTCACTCTTTGATGCTATAACAAAAACTAATCGAAGAAACGCAGATGAATTAAAAGAAATATAATTGTAGGCCATTATATACGTTAGAGAGAATACTTTTATTTAAGTTCATTATTATTAGCTCATATGGGAATATATTTTTGATAATATGCGGCGACTTTATTTGAATTTAGGATCGATCTGTATGTGAATATCACATCTAAGAATTTAAATTGTCAGAGAAAATCTATTTTTATTTACTTTTAGTTTAACAAACTAAACTTGTTATTTAGCCTTCAAAAGATGATTCTAAAAGTGCATTTTTTAAGGGATTATAAGTTGTGTAATGAGTTGTACATTCAGACAATTCAATATGGTAATAGGGCATAAAAGTTCAAGACTCACAAAAAAATAAATAGAATCAAGTACATACATGGTTGAGGAAACATGTTAAAATATAATTAAGTAATAAAATTATCTTCATTATTGTAATTTAAGCGTTTAATGACATGATCATAGCAATTAACATATTATTTCGTATCGTTTTCATTATAAGTTGAAATATATATACTTTTTTTTTTAAAAAAAAAGGGTGAGGTCGCTCTTCCAAACTTTAATTTCTACGGACTCAACAACAAGTTTTTGAATTGGACCATAAACTTGAGGTTGTTTCCAATGCTGGATATTATCAATAAGGGCTAACCCATCGGTGGCCCACTAAACTTGACATCAACTTTCACTTGGACACTTTAACTAGGCTTTGTTCATTTTAAGCACATCATGTCAAATCTCATTGTGTCATTTTGACACTTTTTATATTTTCAAAACCACATTTTAAGTGCGTGCATCCATACGCCTCTTATGTGGAAAAATAAACGAATTGGTATGTGACACATGGAAATTTTATTTTATTTTTAAAAATCTCAATTTTACTTTCTTTTTTTCTTTCTTCCAGATCCCAAACCCCATGTCCCCACCTCTTTTTTTCTTCTTCTTGCGCCTCCTTCCCCTTCATCTGTTCTTCTCCATCAAAAAGGCAAGACCATAGGTTAGTTTACAAAATAAAATACGTTTTGGAGAATAAGGGAAATCATACCAAATAGAAAAGTATTTATATGACATTTAAAAGAAGATGATTTCTTGTGCTACTACGATTGGGATTTACAATGAAGGATATGCAAAATAAATTTCTTTTTTTTTTCATTGGAGGTTGTTCTTTATTTCTTTTTTATTCCATGAAATCAATTTAATTTTCAATGGAGAAGGTAAGAATGTAAATCAGTTTTTCCATTTGAAAAAAGTTGATTTCTTTTTTTGTTCCCTTGAAATCGATTTTGTTTTTGAATATGAATTAAGATGCAAATTCGATTTTCAAAGAAGATGGAAGAATCGAAGAGTGTAACCTAGTAAAATATTATAGAATTTTTTAAAAAAGTTGTGTGGTGATGGAGGATGGTAGAAGGTGAAGAAGATGGAAGGGAGAAAGCAAGGAAGAAGAAGGAGAAGAAAATATTTACAAAAAAATTCAGAATATTTACAAAAAAAGTCTCTGACGTGCTCAAAATTCGTGTAGCACACGTACTATGCTTAGTCAGCAAAAAGTATCAAAATGACACAGCGAAACGCGACATGAAGTGTTTAAAATGAAAATACTTCGGTTGAGGTGTTTAAGTGAAAGATTGTGCCAAGTTTAGGGGGTCACCGATGGGTTAGCCCTATCCAATAATAATAGTGATGGTGGTGCATTAGGGGGGGTCGAACCTTATCACAAAAAGTTGGAACTATAATCTCCAAATTTTGGTAAGTATAATTAATACCCCTTTGTCGCTAATTACTTGTCCACTTTTCCTTTTATAGATGTCCCTAATTACTTGTCCATTTTGACAAATCAAGAAAGAATTTTTTTTTTTACCTATTATACCCTCAATTAAATGACTAATTATTTTTTAAAATGTAGAACTTTTCATCCACTTCATAATTAATAGGGGTAAAATGATAAACTCACTATATCATTAATTATTTTCTTAATAGATGTGCCAATTCAAAAGTGGATAAGTAATTAGAGACAAAGGGAGTATGTAATATTGATTTAGTTTGATTGTGAAAGTGGTATAATTAATTTATGCAACCCTAAGCATATATATTTTTTAAAGATAAGAAAGCAACCGTGATTTTTTTTCTAATATAAAGTCCAACCAAGTAATTAAGTGCCGTCTCACTTTGAAATTTCAACTATTTTCTATTAATGCAAATATTTCCATCAATGAATAGTCTCACTCTTAACATTGCAATCCATAATTTGTCTTTTCAATTCCTAAGGAAACTAAATTGTACACAAAAATAATATTTAGCGCAAAATTATATTTTTTATGTTTTTATGTTTTATCTTTTATCATAAGGCAATAACTTTATTATATAATCATATCTTTTCTCCAAATTAGTCCATGTAAACGAAACCTTGTGTTAGAACTAATCTTTAGGTTCAACGTCAATATGATAGTCTTGGGTTCGAACCTCTTTGGATACGGAGTAGCCTTTGTTAGGGAGCGATTTATCCCTGTGGAACTTCTCTGCGCGAATCCGAATTTAGTCGGGCTCCAATATGGATACCTGACACCAGGTGGGAAATAATAATAAAAAAAATCTCCAAACAAGATAGTTTGAGGAATTCACTATTATTATGGACATATAGTTATGAATTGACGGAGAGATTCTAGTGAAAGAAAGATAGTGTAGAAAAATTGATTGGTCATAAGAAAAAAATAGAATAGGGCCAGGATACGGAATAACTTAAGTTAGAAGCAAAGCTTTGGCACCATGATAAAGAAATGAACTTCAAATTCAACTCCAAAACATTAATTCATGAGTGAAGCTGATATGGACCAACACCCTCCAACATGTCTAAGACTGAATATCTGGAGTGCGTACAATATAAAGAGGGAGACTACTATGGAAAATAATAAACTGAGATGAGTCTAACTCTCACGAAAAAGAATATAACATAATATTGTGTGTAAAAATATTAATCTTTATGTTTCTCTTCTTAATTACCTCTTTACGTGAGGCAATGCAACTTTATTACATAGTCATGTCTTCTCCATTTAAATTGAAATTGAACTCAACAATCTCAATCTTAGTAATATGACTGATCTTAACCTATATTAATATTTAAATATTAATCCTAGGCTAATTAAGCTCTAAATATTTTATGAGGTGAAAATATGCAATAGTTAACTGTGGTTTACGTGTATCATTTAGTTGCTAGTATAAAAAAAAATATGATTTTATCAGTTTAATTTGTTGTTAATTTTGGAAAGTAATAGTAAGCACATTGCATCTAATATTATTTTATTACCTGTTAAAAGCCATTTATTTGGAGACAAAATAAACTGAAGAAACTTACTATTAATTTCAAAAGACGCAAATATTTATTGTGAAAGAGAAAGGTCGCCACATTATTGGTAAGTGAGCCAGTTGTTTGACAACGATGTTTTCGGATGAGAAGAAACTTGTGAAGTTAAAACTATGTAAAAGCAAAAAATTAAATGCCACCAAAACCAACATTTTCCATACAGCTATTATTGGCCTCTCTAAATATTCATCACAACTTGCCCTACCTATAACAAAAATGAAGGAAAATATTATTTCGATGGCGTATCCAGAATATTTCGTAAGTGATGCCAATATTTGAAGAATTGAATAACTGATTTCATTTGGGTTATTACTTAGAGTTGGAGTCAGAATTTAAAGTTTATAAGTTTTAAATTATTAAAAGATGGGTCATAATCCAGTCAATTCAATTCGTACTAAGTTTCAAACAAATTTTTTCACAGTCCCCTATTTCAAGGTGATTTTTAACTTTTGATCTTTAAAATTGTGATTTTTAATTTTTAACACACTGTTTATTTTATGAAAATCTATGGATTAAAGTATTCTTAACTATGACTTAATTTTTAGTGGCAAAACTTTTTACAAAATGTTTGACCTGAGACAGAATTTATATAGCATCTGATTCGCAATGCAAGACTTTTAGAGAACTTTGTCTTGAGACATAATTATTGTCACTGAACTTATATCATGTGGCATAACTTGTGTCA